CTATGAGGAGAGGCTGAGGGACCTGAATCTCTTCAGTCTCCGCAAGAGGAGACTGAGGGGGGATCTTGTGGCTGCCTACAACCTTATCAGGGGCCACCAGCAGGGACTCGGGGAAAGTCTGTTCACCAGGGCCTCCCTTGGAGTCACCAGGAACAATGGCCACAAGCTGAGGGAGGATAGGCTTAGGTTAGATATTAGGAAGAACTACTTCACTGTAAGGGTGGCCAGAGCCTGGACTAGGCTTCCCAGAGAGGTGGTGCTCTCACCGTCCCTGGAAATCTTCAAGAGGAGACTGGATAGGCACCTGGCTGGGGTCTTATGACCCCTGCCACTCCCAGTGCTTCTTCCTGCCCATGGCAGGGGGTCGGACTAGATGATCTGTCTAGGTCCCTTCTGACTCATTGAGTCTATGGTTCTATGATTTGAGTTTCTAAGGCTTCTGAATAGTGCATAAATAAAGGAGAGAGATGAAGAATAGAGGAATGATACTCATCCTTCGTCCACTCAATGTACACCTGTAATCTTCATACCACCCAATAGAATTAAATGGGTTGCATCAGTTGCTTATGACTTTGCGTTCAGTTTTTAAGAATATGAAGCAACTTTGTAAACCATTTGTAGGAATGTCAGACAGTTGGGTCATTAGTTGCATGTGCAAGAAAAACTGGGCTAGTTCCTAAAATTCAGAGAGCACCATTTGTCAACTGATTATTATTTTTACTCAAATCTAGAATGAGTTCTCCCCCCACCCCCCCCATTCAGTATGAGAAAGGAGGGAGGGGTCCCTTGTTTTTAGATCTGAGTGTGAACCAGGCAGGCAGTTGCTGCAGGTCCAGTTGTGGCAGGGTGGCACATGCATCAGGATTGGGATGCATGGAGAGGGGGAAGCATGGGGGAAGGGGAGGTCACAGTGTATGGGATGGCATGGAGGGAAGGGGGGCATGGTGCTGGGGGAGCACAAGAGAGGATGTGCAGTGTGAGGGGGGTGCAGGGAGAGTGCATGGGAAAGGGTGTGCAGTGCTGTGGGTAGCATGGGGAAGGGTGCATGGTGCAGGAGAAACATGGAGGACATGGCAGCAGGGGGCATGTGGGGGAAAGGATGCACTGAGTGAGGAGAGGACAGAGAAAGGGGGCACAGTTCAGGGGGAAGCATGGGGGAAAGGAACGCACAGAGCCAGGGGAAAGTGAGGATAAGGCGGAGAGAGCGGTAGGGGGAGCTGCTGCAGCTCTAGCCCTGACCCCAGTCCATGCTGAAGCCTGAAGCCAAAAGCTTTGCTACTGACTGGCCTAGCCACGTTCTCTGTGCCCCCAACACAGGCAGAGGCAGAGCAACTATTCTGCAGTTGCTCGGGGATGTAGGGGGATGATTAGGAAGGCCAAGGCAGAGATGGAACAGGGGCTGGCTTCCCGGATTAAAGACAACAAGAAGTCCTTTTTTAAATACATAGGGAGTAGAAAGAAGGCCCCAGGAAATGTGGGGCCCTTGCAGGACAAGACGGGGAATCTGGTTGTCACGCCAGACGACAAAGCCAACATATTTAATAACTTCTTTGCCTCTGTCTTCCT